CCATCTGTACCTGTGGCTTGAAAAGCAGCATTTTCATAGCTTCCGGGACTGTCAACCAAGAAATTTACGTGAAAGAGTGTTTGAATAAACGTCTGCTGCCTTTCCTGAAGAAACACGGTTGTTCCGTACTGTTTTGGCCGGATTTGGCATCTTGCCATTACGGTAAAAAGGCCATGGAGTGGTACGCCGCCAACAACGTGCAGGTGGTTCCCAAGGACAAGAACCCTCCCAACACGCCAGAGCTCCGCCCAATTGAGAAATACTGGGCTATTGTCAAGCGGAACCTAAAGAAGACCAAAAAAACTGCTAAGGGCGAGCAGCAGTTCAAGGCAAACTGGCTTTCTGCGACGAAGAAGGTGGACAAGGTGGCTGTACAAAATCTGATGGCAGGGGTCAAGCGTAAGGCCCGGCAATTCGGATTTGGAAAAGCGGAAGCCTAACTGAATATTTTTCCTGAATTTTATACTAATTGAACTTGAAAAAGAAATTTAATTTGATTTTTTAAATAAACGATTTCACCGATTTACACGCGTTTTCCCTTGACCAAATTTTGCCCGTATCACCCTTTAGCTCGTTTGACACATCGAAATGTGGACAAACGAAATGCTCCTGCACTCCAAAAAATCTTCACGTTGATGCTACGTGAAAAATCACGTAACCCCTTAAACACCCCACTTCAATCATTTTCACGTACCGCAGATCAATGTCAAATGGAATTTTGATAAAATGTACGTGATTTTCATGTCGGTTGATACTACGGGAATTTCACGTAAAAAGAATGTGATAAGCATGTACACTCTACAAAGCATACACGTTCAACCTACGTGAAAAATCAAGTAGCCATTTCGATTACTTCAACTTCCATTATTACATGATGGTAGTGAAATTGACAAACATACCATGTAATGTTCACTGGAGCTGATGATGAAAGTGCTTACGTGAAATGGGTTTACGTGATTTACATGTATGAAAAAGTTATTCAATATGGCGTCAACTTCATTAGAGGAAGAGTTGCTCTCATTTTTGGATTTCCTAACACTAACACTGCATAAACTAGAAGGTGTTTTTATACTATTTTACATCATTCGAAGACCGCGCAAATAATTGTATTTATTTAGATTTCAGAGGCTGGAATCAATATCATAACTCTGAATAAGACAGCACAAACAGATATTGCATCAGAATGGTCCTGATCAAAGATTTGAGGCAACGAAATGTTCAGTGTTAATTTTTTAATGGCAATAGAGAAATGCTTTACGTTTAATTACAAAATCTAAAAATGTTTAAAAATTATTTTCTTGGTGTTTTTAGATCTTGTAAACGTTGCTTCAAGATCACGTAAACATTCCGTGAAAATCCATTTTAATCTTAGTAAAAATCAATAAACAATAAATGTCAGTAAATATCATTTAAAAATCACGTAAACATTGCGTGAAAATCTATTCCAAGTTAAATGGAAATCACGTAAAATTTACCTTACTGTTCACGTTGACCACTAAATGCGAATATTTTTGGCTACATGACATTAACGTAAATGTTACGACGAAAGCTACCTATGTTTTCACGTAGATCGGACGTGCATATTTTTTGGAGTGTGTGTCATGTCAGTCCGTCGGTTATAATATCAGGCATAACATTTGATAACGGCACAAAAGCATTTGTAAATAAACTTTCTAAGGCCCTTTACGCCCACGCAAGTCAATACCACTTTCGGAAAGGTGATAGTTGCCCCTATCCGATGATGTTGTTGGTTTGCGTGGGCGTACTTTGGTTCGCGTGTAAAGGGCCTTAGAAAGTTTGTTTACAAATGCTTTTATGCCGTTATCAAATGTTATGCCTGATATGCCCAATATACAAGAAAGGTGACAAGTTAGAATGTGAGAACTACCGATCGATCACCATTCTCAACGCAGCCTACAAAGTGCATTTCCAGATCATCCTCCACCGTCTATCGCCGCTAGCAAGCAGATTTGTGGGAAATTATCAAGCCGGTTTTGTGGACGGGCGATCGACAGCAGACCAAATCTTCACGTTGCGGCAGATCCTCCAAAAATGTTGCGAATATCAAGTTCCTACACACCACCTATTCATCGATTTCAAAGCCACTTACGATACTATTGACCGTGAACAGCTATGGAATATTATGGACGACAACGGTTTTCCCGGGAAACTGACGAGACTGAATAAGGCTACGATGGATGCTGTACAGCGCTGCGTGAAGATATCGGGTGCGCTATCCGACCCGTTTGAAATATGCAAAGGACTTCGACAAGGCGATGGCCTTTCCTGTCTCCTGTTTAACATTGCGCTAGAAGGTTGAAACGTGCGGGCTTTAACATACGGCTTCGCTGACGCCGTTGACATTGTCGGAAGAACGTTTCAGGCGGTGGCGGACTAGTAACAGGCTGAAACGTGAAGCAGAAAAGGTTGGATTACAGGTGAATTCGTCAAAGACAAAGTATCTGCTGGCTGGAAGAGTCGAGAGCGATAGGGCTCGCATTGGCAGAAGTGTAACAATAGACGGAGATGAGTTCGAGGTGGTGAATGAATTTGTGTACCACGGATCATTGGTGACGTCAAATAACAACTGCAGTAGAGAAATTCGCAGACGCATTATTGCTGGATGTCGTGCCTACTACGGACTCCTCAAGACCCTAAGGTCGGGTAAACTTCATCTCCGCACTAAGTGTACCATGTACAAGACGCTGATAAGACCGGTAGTACTCTACGGGCATGAGACATGGACGATGCTCGAGGAGGACCTGCAAGCACTGGGAGTTTTCGATGTGCTTAGGACCATCTTTGGCGGGGTATATTAAAACGGTCTTTGGAGGAGAAAAATGAACCACGAACGGAACTCTATGGTGAACCCAGTATCCAGAAGCCGCTAAAGCTGGAAGGGTACAGTAGGCGGAACACGTTGTAAGAATGCCAGATAATAATCCCGCAAAAATGGTGTTTACCTCAAATCCGGCTGGAACAAGATCTAGGAAGTGTGGGACGCTTGAGGAATTGGAGACAAGCAGTCATGGATCGAGCTAGTTGGCGCAACATTGTTATGCAGGTCAAATCCTGAGGGACGTCGGACCAGCAAAAGTAAGTAAGTAAGCTACGAAGTTCGCTGAACTACTCTGAAATCCTTAATTTTTTAAGAATTTCGTTGAATATCTGCGATTTACTGCAAAGTTCCTTGAACTTCTACGAAATTCCCTGAACTACACCAAGTTCATTAAACTAAGCGGCGGTGGTGGTGTAGTAGTAAGCGTGATTGCCTCTCACCCCAAAAGGCTTGGGTTCGATCACAGTCGGTGCCGGGATTTTCTGAGGCATAAAATCTCTGATCACGCCTTCACGGGAAGTTCAGCCGTTGGCCCCCGGTCTATGAGTTAATGGGTCGATACGTAGGGTCCAGGTGTGGGAGCTGCTTCCATGCCGTCGGTAGCATGGGGGTATGAAGTAGTTCACCTCCTCGTGGTGTGCGCTGGAAACGTTAATTATCAAACCCAAGGGAGAGATATTGCGGCTAAACGAACTACAACAGAGCAACGAATTACAACAGAGTAAGGACGCTGGAGCCCCATCCAGCTTGTCCCAGGAGGTCGATAAACCCTGCACAAACCCTCGTCGTGCAAAGGCAGGAGTGACACCGGGCTCTTAGAGTGTAGACGACTCTCACCAAGTCGCAGCACACGCAGCTGGTACGCAGTCACGTCTGTCCTGTCCCGCCGTGGACAGCTGGTTTGCTGCCACGTCTGCTCTAGAACTCAGGCGAACAATTAACGACGAACGATTAAGAGGAAGGCCCAGCACAGCAGCTCACTGTGCAGTAGCGAGTGTCACGTCTGTGATGCGCCACTAGTGATGCGCCATAGCGCAACCGGCCCCCTCCCATGACGCAATGCTTTCGGGCGGTTCCGGGGAGGGCAAGGGCCAAGAGCACAGGGTAAGGTTTAGTGGATCGGGAGTGCTACTTCTCCCATCCCCACACCCTGAGTTATCTTCTCAGGTGTCTGGAAGCAAATTCCCTCCTGTATAAAAAAAAAATGCCGGTAGCATTGGTACTCAGTACGGAAAACAAGATCGACGGAAAACAGGTCAAGGAAAAAATTCCATAAAGCTTTAACGAAGTGCCCTGAAGTTAGAAGATGGTCTGAAACTATACGAAGCTTCCCGAATTTCTATTAAATTTCCTGAATTTCTACGATGTCACTGAACATCTACAGAGTCCTTGAATTTTTAAGAAGATCAGTGAAGTTAAAGGAAAAATAACTCAGTTTCAACGAAATTCCCCGAATTTCTGCAAAATTCGCTAAATGTCTCTAAACTTCACTTAGTTTATACAAAGTTCCTTGAAGTTCTACAAAGCTCTCTGAACATCTTTATAACTGAACAAAATTATTTTGAAGTTCTACAAAATTCTCTGCAGTGACGTTCGTTAAGCTTTTACTATGTTTGCTAAACTCTTGTAAAAATTTACTGCACCTCTAGAAAGTTTCCAGAACTGATACGATATTTTCTAAAGTTCTACGAAGTTCCCCGAAGTTCTATTATGTTATTTGAAATTCTACAACGCTTCCTGAACATTGATCAAAAGGTTTCTGAAATTAAATGATGTCCTCTTAACCTTGATTTTTGAGAAGACTCCTGACCTTCTGTAATTCAGTATGGACTTAGTTTTATAAATACGAAATATAGAATACCTTCGCCGATCTCGCTGACGATTTTTCGTACCCACTAAATTTCACAAACTACATACGAACGCATTTGGCAAGCTCTATCGAATTGCGCATTACGAAAGCTCCGTTGGTCGTGTTGAGTCCCGACAGACACGAAAAGTTCAACCGTCTCCAACGCTCCATTTATGAAATGAGAATAAGCCCTCCCACCAACGTCAAGGTGCAAAAAACTAGCCACGGGGAGGGTTTGTCCAATAATTACAAATTATTATAACAATAAAATATGTTGGTACAAATCTAGTTGAGCTTATGTTGCACACTTACTTGTCCACAATGGATCCGATAATCTCCAGTGTCTCCTTAACCAAATCGTCCACGGTGTCCGACAGTGACGCCTTCCGGTCAGTCCGCAGGCATCTCCCCCCGTGAGACCCAACGGTCCGACTTCCGTCGCCAACTTCGTTCCCACTAGCGGTGTAGGAATCGCGACTATTCTCATTCAGATAGCCTTCCTCCACCTTATCCTTGCACAGACAGACCCCCATGCTGGTTGTTTATAAGCTCCTTTGTACTTCCTGCTTTGATTCCGCCGCAAACTGAATTCTATCACCGACCAACCTCCAAACAAACAAACAAACAAACGTAACCGAATGCTAGAAATTCACTTCTTCCATTCGATCGACCATCACGATTTCACTTCTGTTCGTTGTTAGCTTTTTTTTCTCGACAATTTTGTGCCACTTTCTTCGCCTTTCTCTGGCGGCCACTCGACGATTCACTGTCTTCTTGTGCTTAATTTTTCACCTCGCGATGTTATGTGACTCCTTCAATCCTTATCAGCCAAACAACAAACTATTTTCTAAATACTGCTAGTGATAAGAGCACTGTTTTCGTTTGCCCTTTGTTGTGCTGCGTGTACCTTCCTGGTGTCACTCTGGAATCTCTGCAGTTTCTGGTTTTCTTCACAGGAAGAGACGCTCTTTTCAAGAAAAGATTCTTTAGCTCACATTACAAAACATGTTCGCCACTAAAATAAACACACTCACACGTCAAAAGATGAACTAGCAGCGCAGACAGATTTACGATACCAGCCAGCGAAGACGACGGGACGGGAGTGCCGATTATCGAATTCCTTCAATCGAATATATTTGCAATTAGGTACTATCGTCATCAGCATCAGCAGCGAAACAACGTCAACATAAACGACTGCAACTACGACCGACAGTTTGTTGAATTTTTTTTTTCACCCGAGAACCAACATTCCGTATCCACTCGGGACGTCGTGACGGATGACGAGCGATTACAGACAAAAATATTTTCTTCAACTGAGATTACAGCACATCACTCTTTTTCCCATACGGGCACGGAAACCGCTTTTGCCTATTTCCACGAAACTTGTGAAGATTTTGTTTTTGAAAGTTCGCACCCTAGACGGAAAATCTGGAAGATTCAAATATGCAACAGCTAGGACCAGTATAACTTCTTATTTTCCTTTACGCCATATGCACACGGTGGCTAATCCGCTGGCTGCAGGAAACGACGACAACCGTACGTGACTTTTTCTTGAATGAAACAGACGGACGACTGATGGTGACTGATGCCGTTGAAGTTTTTCAATTTTTTTTGCGTAAAAACGTATTTATCGTTGTGTGAGTGCTCTTGGCTGTCAAATCGGGTACACTGAAACGAAAACTGTGTGCCATAAAAGATTTCCGGAAGGCTAAACACGGTGAGACGGAAATACTTAAATAAGAGAAAAAATCAATGGATTATTCCATTGACATACACGGTAACCAGTGTAAACACATTAATTAGTAAAAAATCAGGCCAGTGACAAGGCCTATACCAACAGCAGCGTTTGACAGTAGACAGCATGTTCCGGGCTCAAATCGTTTATTTTGCTGTGCTGGGCCCGCTGTCACGGTATAACATGTTGCCTACGCGTCTGCCACAGGGCTGTAAAAAATACACATTTGTTATGTTTATATGCAGCAGTCAAAAATTGTGTAAATTAGGAGCTCTTAAAATGTGTAAAAATACACATTTTCAGAATGTATTACCAATCAAAAAATGTGTATTTTTAAACTCATTAATGGGAAAAAAAAAACTTTAAAACTTGTTGCATCCTGCTTCGTTGATGCACTTCCCGAAAAAAAATAACAACAAAAATACAATAAAAAACAATGTAACAATAAGACGAAAATTATTGTCTTAACAATGATTTATATTGTTACGTCTACAATAAATTTACCTTAATTTATGTTGTACAAAACAGCAAATTTCATGGTAAATGGAAAATTTACAATAAAAAAGGGGGGTTGTTAAGTATCTTAACAATGAAATTTTCGTGATTTCCCCATATAATTTTTTTTCAATAACATTATATATTATTGTTATTTTACTGTTGGTTGGCGAATTTATTGATTAAAAAAAAATAACAGTGTACTTTAGAGTGTATTTGTTGGCTTGACAGATCTACTTTATCGACTTTAAAAATAAATCGAAAAAGTAAAACATCGCCCCGGGAAGGGAGGGGGTGGTATGTCTGTTACGGGTGAGTCCTTTTTTTTACTGGTTATGGATTGAGATTCGATCCGGAACTTGTGAGAAATGGAGGTCAACTCCCCTGCACTCGATCTCTCTAGGTCACGTCTCCTTGGTGGTTGAGCGTCGTTGATAAGTTAATGCATTCAACTGGAGAGAATTGCCCATGAAATATGCTTCCACCTGAGAGTTATTTCCTGACATCTTCAAGTGGTGGATTTTTTTTATTATTATTGTATGCACGATAACCGCAAAATACCCAATAATGACTACAAAATAAGCATTTTCGAAGGAGACTGGGACTACCCATTAAATGAGTAAAAATATTGCGTTCAATTGACTTGGCAATGAATAGAGCCAAACGAACTGTCAAAGCAAGAGCCATACGAGCAGCGCCTATCTTGATTACATTGGCAGTGTTGCTGACCCTCTCATAGTCTGCATGCTTCAATCAGATTTATTTTTATTGTTCGTGAAGTAACCCACAATAAAAACACACCAATATTTAATGTAACAACAATTTTTATTGTAATAGAGTTGTTCATTATTGTTCGTGATCGAATCATGTTAACAATAAAATAAATGAAAAATACAATAAAAATCATTGTTACAACATTTTATTATGTACATTCATTGTACAGCTAGGTAGCAGTTTCGCCGTTTTCGGAAGGGTACAACATTATAACAATCATTTTTATTGTCTACAATAAATATTAATGTTAGAGCATTGTTTCCACTGAAAATTTCACTGTAATTTTTTTTTCGGGTTGCCTAAGCGAAAAAATTTAATGTTGAAAAATATATCGGTTTTCACATATAATCTGAAAGAGCTTCCTTTTCTGAGCACAGCTATAGTTTTTTCGAATCCACACACTTTCATCTCGATTTTTAAATCAAGATTTAAAGCAAAATAATAACTTCACTGTTTGACACTAAACTGACAAACTGACAGCTCGCTCCCATACAAAGTGACACCAAGGGGCGCTAATAAGGTGATTGTTGCAAATGTAATCGTACTTATTTAAAATAGTTCCAGTGTACCAAAATTGATGAAATTTTGGGTTTGGGTTCCATTTTTAATACAGATTACGAATATGCATTTACCTCAATACCCTTAAAGCGAGCCTTAAAGAACCCACTTGACGAGATAGAGGGTAAGTGATTTATTATATTTTCATAGCTAAGCCACAGACAAACAGACATAACACTCACAATGACATTCATCGCAAATAATGTTTTAGTTGGGAATGTGCTTGCATTTGTCATGGTGGCGCCACTGAAGCATTGAGTAAGCCACTACATTTCGAACTTATCAGTGATGCCAGTTCTATTTTACGTCTAGTTAGTAGATGTCAGCTCTTGAAAATGATAAGTGGTCAAGGCATCCCACTGGAGACATATACCAAATCTGACGAATACAGAAAAAAAAAGTTTTTGAATATTACATCAAAAGTGCTGCACATTAGTCATTCCATTCCTAATATTACGCTGTACGATTAACACAAAATTCGAGAACAAAACATGTTGATGACTGTAATATTCTATCAAATTTTACCCCTTTTGCCAGTTATTGATGTTAAATACTTCACCATGAATTTTATTGCTTGATACATATTATATATTTTTGCTGAACACACATTAAAGTGATGAGCGGTGGTAGAAAGGGCAATACTTAGTGATGCATTACCTCGTTTAAAAACTTGTTTCCAGCAAAGGAAGGAGCACACTAAACAAACAAAACAAACCCCTAAAAAAAGATGAAAGCTTCTGTAACTTTTTCCTACGGATCCGTGTTTCTGCAGAATTCGATCAATTCTATAGATCTATGGAAAATTTCGTAGAACCGACATCACTGACTTCCATCTGTTTTGTTTTTATTCAACACAGCTGACGCGTTGACAGAACGAGGGAAAAGAAACTGGTGAAAAAATGGCATGAACGAGGGATGCTCTGGTTGGTTCGGTGTCTGGCTGTGATTTTTTTTTTAATAAAATAGTATTGAATCCGAGCAACCTTTATTTTATCATTGACACAAATAAAAAAACTCCATTCGTCCCCATCATATTTAAAATCTATCCAGCTTTCCATGCACGGTAATGGCGGCCTGTTTGTAGGAATAAATGTATCCTTCACTGTGCTTTTTGACACTAACTGGAGGGCGTATGTTGTTCCTTTTTCTTCTGTTCCTGGGAGAGGGAAAGAGAAGGGTCAAAATCCGAACCTCCAGATAGCACAGTGAAGGATAGATTTGTTCATACAAACAGGACGCCATTACCGAGCATGGAAAGCTGGATAAATGATTACATTTATACATTTTGCAGTAAAAACCGTACTTGAAAAATGTGTAAAAAATACTCTTCTATTGACGTTTGATCGGTTTACCTTTATTCACGAAATGTGTGAAATTTTAAACATTAATGTGTTTACGCAGGTTACCGTGTAGAGATTACTGACGTTTAACGCACGCACACTAGTGGGTGCATCGCCGTGTCAAGTTGTTTATTATTTTCCTCTGGCTTCCCTAAAAAATGTATGAAATTTGATTTGCCAAAGTGAGTTTGACAGCGATTTGTAGTGTATTTTCCTCTGATTTCCCCAAAAACGCTCTCACACATAGCACCAATACAACCGGACGTGAAAATCTCAATACATGCTTCTAATCAGGGTTGCTTCCACTCGTTATCATGATATGTTGTACTTGTCAGGGTTAGTTCCACTCACTTGCTATAAAAAGTTGTTTTTCCGAATTATGAAAACAATTGATGTTATAGTGATAACACAGACAAACAGACATAACACATTGAATATTTTTAACTGTAAAACATCGTCGCTAAAACATAACCGCCATCTGATGAGTACACTGTGGTGGGTAGCACGCTGAACAGATGGCGGTAGTGTGTAAACGTCAAACACAAGGACTTTGACTATGCACGCCACTGGTGGCGGCACTACCAACTACGATACTTTTAAATTTACCGTTAAATTCTTGTTCGATGAACAACTTGCGAGAGTTATGTCTGTTTGTCTGTGGTGATAATTAGAAATTGTAAGTTAAAAGAAGAGGTCGTGAAGTATGTGTTTGACTCATAAAACCTGTCAATTTCGCTTTCAGAGCGTCACAATCAGCGATCTTATGATTCGCGAGCGTTCACTCAGAGTGAGCGCTCACGAATCGTTTAATCACTGATTGTAACGCACTGAAAGCAATATTGACAGGTTTTATGTATCAAACACATTCTGCACGACGCCTTCTTGTAGCTTACAAGTACTAATTATCAGGGTTACTTCCACTCACTTGCTATAAAAAAAATGTTTTTTGGAATTATGAAATCATGAAATAGTATAATGCTAATAAGTACTTGTAAATTACAAGAAGAGGTCATGAAGTATATGTTTGACACATAAAATCTGTCAATATTGCTTTCAGTGCGTCACAATCAGCGATTTTACGACTCGTGAGCGCTCACTCTGAGTGAACGCTCATGAATCATAAGATCGCTGATTGTGACGCTCTGAAAGCAAAATTGACAGGTTTTATGAGTCAAACACATACTTTACACCCTCTTCTTGTTACTTACTAGTACAACATATCATTATAACATCTAATGATTGCATAATTCCGAAAAATATTTTTTTATAGCAAGTGAGTGGAAGCAACCCTGCTAATTATCACTATAACATCTAATGTTTTCATAATTCGGAAAAAAAAAGAATTTTTTATAGCAAGTGAGTGGAAGTAACCCTGGTACTTGTAAGTTAAAAGAAGAGATTGCAAGGTATGTGTTTGACAAACCTGTCAATTTAGCTTTCGGAGTGTCACAATCAGCGATTCTAGAATTCTTGGTAATAACATAGAGGGACTCTAAGACCAGAAGGTCCCGAAAACTCATTAAATTCGACATATTTTTATTGTGCGAGTGCTCTGAGTGAACGGTCACGAATCATAAAATCGCTGATTGTGACACTCTGAAAGCAAAAAGGACAGGTTTCATGTGTCATACACATACTTTGCAATTTCTTCTTTTAACTTACAAGTTCAAAATATCATAATAACGTCTAACGATTTCATAATTCCGAAAATATTTTTTTTATAGCAAGTGAGTGGAAGCACAGATGAACAGACGTAACGCTTCATTGTGTATCTTCGTTCATGCATTTAACGGTTGATTTGAATATTATCAGTTCCGCGAACTACTCGCCGCAGCGCTGGCATCGGATCACTTTGACGTTTCTATACATTCTACAGAACTTTTATGCAATATTGTTTGCGAGTTTGCGAGCAAGCTTGTTTTCCGCGAGAAGGTCGAGAGATGTGGTGACTGAAATCCTATGTTTTGAGTTATTATGTTTTCAAGGAAAACTTTTTCAAAAAGTTACGTCTGTTTGTCTGTGGTGGAAGCAACCCTGTGTGGGACACATAACAATAATCATTGAATTTGCTTTGGGAAGAAATGTGCTCAACTTTTTGGTTCCGCTCTTTTACTATCTTCGGTCCCAAGCTAATCGATATCCCTCGAAATATAAGAAAATCCACGAGCCCCTCATTTTATCTGTCAAACTTTCATAACGAATCAAAACAATCATACACACTTAAATTTTTTCGCCGAGTTTCCAACAGCCGAGTAATTCTGCAATTTATTTTGCTGAGATTCAGTCAAACAATTGCCGAGACTCAGCTAACAAATAACATTTTGCTGAGATATCAGCTAACAAACAGATATTTTGCAGAGATATCAGCAAAAATGAATGCCGAAGTAATCGGCTGTTGGAGATTTTACCGAGCTAGATTAAGTGTGTACACACTTAAATTTTTTTGCCGAGTTTCCAACAGCCGAGTAATTCTGCAATTTATTTTGCTGAGATTCAGTCAAACAATTGCCGAGACTCAGCTAACAAATAACATTTTGCTGAGATATCAGCTAACAAACAGATATTTTGCAGAGATATCAGCAAAAATGAATGCCGAAGTAATCGGCTGTTGGAGATTTTACCGAGCTAGATTAAGTGTGTAGTGTAGTGCTAGAATTTCGACTAGAATGGGGTATGTTAATCGATTTGCTTGGGACCAATAGGCTAGTCAAGTAGTGAGCCAATTTAAAATCGTTAGTGTCCACCAATTGCTGCTACTCTCCAAAAACTTGCAACGGTTTTCGGTTGAAACGCGATGTATTTTATGAATTAAATTGACTTAGGGCTTTTGATCTAATTTCCGTCCTACTAAGCACAACCCGTGCTTTACCTCTATTTTTTGAACGGGTTTGAACAAAAAATGGAATATTTCTTTCAAAGACGACTTCTATATTTATTCACCTTTCCATACGTACTGTTAGATTTGATAAAGAGTGACAAATTGTTGAGATATTGTTTAAAATCTAACACTGCTTCTTGATTCTAAATTCGTCCTACGAGTTTCAATTCCGTCCAAACGCATTGAAACGCCATTAGATTTTCTTCGTCCTACGGATAAACGTAGAAAAAGGGGATTTGCTAGAAGCGCTTCTTTTGTTTTGAGAACAATGAGCGTAAATATTCATACAATGCGCTCTAATAGGATTTATGTTGTAGCTAATGAACTAACGTATCGGAAAAAAAACCTATAATTGATTTGTGCACGGTGAAATCATTGATATTATTGATCTTTTCTGATCGATAGAACGGAAATGGGCGATTACGACGAAGTAGCGCTCTACCCTACTAAAGTTTTTCAGTGTTTTGATATTTTTTTCTATTTTTGTACAGCAAAGAAAAGCTTAAACACGGAAGCTATAATCAGTTCTATATTTTTATAACATAAGCCTGGTACGCAGCTGAAAAGTTATAACGTTTTTACGTGCAACGGGATAGGACACGAAATGCTAAAGTGTTCAATGAGGTTATGTTTATAAAAGACTCAATGAGGTTATGTTTATAAAAGTGTTTTCTACTACTCACAAAACGGTATTATTTTGTGCCCTAATAAACGAACACCATACACTAACGATATCATAGATGGTACGACCATACCTCATAAAGTTGGGATGATATCCCGAATTGGTGGTTATATAGGCACTTCTTATGGTTATTTTTTATGCGGGTGGTTACTGGTTATCGACTATCTCTCGCTTCTTTCATGCGATGTGGACGATAATTCCTGACCTATCAAAGCACAACATTTGTTACTAATTAACAAATATAGTTCCGTCTTACACTTAGAGCTTTCTTTTGAATTTCTCCACCTAATTTCTCGTTCACAGATTAAAACGTTTTACACATCAAGCAATTTTCGTTTGAGAGGACATACAACGATTTTTTCAGTTTTCATCGAATGACACGTCATCTTCTTCCTATCGTCGGTCCAGTTGTTTAGGTAACCGTGTCTCAGTTCACCTATAAACCATTTTACGAGACGTTTTAATGACAGTTCCTGGCGGGCCGCTCGTGGCATTGTTATTGTTTACGTCTGATATTTTTGTTTTGATTCTCTACACGGCCAACAAAAGTAACTCACAAGTATATGGGCTTGCCACGGATTTACCCAAAAGTAAGCAAGCTAAACACACTCCGTGAGTCACTTTTGATGGCCGTGTAGTTGCGAATGAAGATATTCGGTCCGCCAGTAAATGTCAAAATTAGTAAACAGAATAAAATCAACAATCAATACGAAACTAACGATTTTAAATTGGCTCACCACTTTAGTAGCCTATTGGTCCCAAGCAAACGATTAACGTACCCTATTCTAGTTGAAATTCTATTACTACACTATGTTTGTTTTGATTCGCTATGAAAGTTTGACAGATAACATCAGGGGTGTGTGGATTCATGCAGAACATGCAGGGGTGAGTGAAATAGCTTGGGACTGCTTGGGACCGTTGTTCTGGTACTGAGTGAGCCAAAAATAATAATGATTTTCTTCGGGACCCAGTGGTCTTAGAGTTACCTCTATGATAAAATCAGCTGACTCGATCTGTCTCGTAAAATGCCTTATTCGCTGCCCGGTCGAGGGGCCTCCGCCACACTAAATAAATTACTTTTTTTAGCCTTTCTTGACCCAGTATGCAGTTCAAAAGAAATCGATAAGGGAAAGATCGATTATATTACGATTGAGCCAAAAAGTTGAGCACGTTTCTTCAGGACCTTCTGGTCTTAGAGTTACCTCTATAGTAGCAGCGTGGGTGTGTTGCTTGGTGAGTGGTCATTCGTAAGAAATCCAGTTCACTCATTGTTTTCGTTGCGAGTTAGACCCTTCTGACATGTTTTCCCTGATATTTTGGGGATGTTCTTTTTTCTCAGTGTGTTTCGTTAATTTCATCAAAACATTCGTTTAAATATTAGCCCCTGTTTTTATATTTTCCACTCTGGTCCACTCTGTCAGTTATCATCTGTCGTTGAGTCGCAAGCTTCATCCGTCGCAAAGCCGAAAACAATCTGTCAAAAATCATTAGTGTTTCCTAACTTTTGGAGTATCGGAAAAATAAGGACCGGAATTAATTGAAAAACTGCTAAAAATACGCCATTGTCTAACAATTTCATAAAGTTGTAGTTTAGTTCCTAGTGCGTGCGACCCGGTACAACTGGTAAAATGGTGGTTCGCGAGTACAACGAGGAGCTTAAGTATATCGAGCGAATTTCGCCGAACAGCTTCCTCATCAAAAAGGGATTCCAACCGAACATGAATGTGGAAGGAATCTTCTACGCCAACAGCAAGCTCGAGAGGTTAATGTTTGACGAATTGCGAAATTCCTGTCGCCCTGGCATGACGGGTGGATTCCTGCCGGGTGTGAAACAGATTGCCAATGTGGCGGCTTTGCCCGGTATCGTTGGCCGGTGAGTCAGTGTTAATATTGTTGATAAGTTGCATGATAATGATGCAATTTTGCAATGCTTCTATTTCAGATCGGTTGGCCTCCCGGACATCCACTCGGGGTACGGTTTTGCGATCGGAAATATGGCCGCGTTCGATATGGGTGATCCGACGTCGATCGTATCGCCGGGAGGTGTCGGTTTCGATATCAACTGCGGCGTGAGATTGCTGCGCACGAATCTGTTCGAAAAAGACGTGAAGCCAGTTCAAGAACTGTTGGCCCAAAGCTTGTTCGACCATATTCCCGTCGGTGTGGGATCGAAGGGAATCATTCCGATGAACGCACACGATCTGGAGGAAGCACTGGAGATGGGCATGGATTGGTCGCTGCGAGAGGGATATGTTTGGGCGGAAGATAAGGAACATTGCGAGGAGTATGGAAGGATGTTGAATGCTGACCCCAGTAAAGTGAGCATGCGGGCTAAGAAGCGAGGTTTGCCTCAGCTGGGAACGTTGGGAGCAGGAAATCATTACGCTGAAATTCAGGTGGTGGAAGAGATTTATGACAAGTTTGCTGCCAGCAAGATGGGAATCGAAGAGCTGGGACAGATTTGTGTGATGATTCATTCGGGAAGTCGTGGTTTTGGCCATCAGGTAGCTACCGATGCTCTGGTTGAGATGGAGAAGGCTATGAAGAGAGACAAGATTGAAACAAACGATCGGCAGCTAGCTTGTGCTCGAATCAATTCGGTGGAAGGACAAAACTACCTCAAAGCCATGGCTGCGGCGGCCAATTTTGCATGGGTGAATCGTAGTTCCATGACATTCCTCACCCGCCAGGCATTTGCCAAACAGTTCAACACCACTCCTGATGATTTGGACATGCATGTCATTTATGATGTTTCGCATAACGTTGCCAAAATGGAAGAACACATGGTGGATGGTCGTCCTAAGCAACTGTTGGTTCATCGCAAGGGTTCGACTCGTGCTTTCCCGCCGCACCATCCGCTGATTCCGGTTGATTATCAACTCACGGGTCAACCCGTTTTGATCGGTGGTTCAATGGGTACGTGCAGTTTTGTTCTGACCGGTACGGAAAAGGGTATGGCCGCCACCTTCGGTTCGACATGTCACGGAGCTGGTCGTAGCTTATCTCGGGCCAAGTCCCGCCGTAATTTGGACTACAAGGACGTTCTAAGGGACTTGGAAGCAAAGGGAATCGCCATTCGTGTTGCTTCGCCAAAGTTGGTCCAGGAAGAGGCACCGGATTCGTACAAGGATGTAAGGGACGTAGTGCAGACTTGCCACGACGTCGGGATCAGTGCCAAGTGTATCAAACTGAGGCCGATTGCCGTTATCAAGGGTTAAGGAATTTTGAAGAGTCTCAATTGAAGGTTCGAATTGAGTGCATTTCGACGAGTGGATATTTAAGGTAATGTAACCGATAATCGCGTTCTCTTAATATATGAAATCGAAAGTAGGGGACCCGATTGTTGATATTTTGAGAAATCCTTCTAATTTTGCTTCCATAGAATTTTATACTTTAACGGTTTCATGCTAACTCTTTCTCGTCGTCCATGGTTAATCTGATGCACCACGACTTTTTGTTTAACATTTTATCGAAGACATCATATCAAAAAGACTGGAAACTTTGCCAGAATCCAAGCGACAGATATAATAGCGCTGCGCTTGAGTGAAGGTGGAAGCAACGCGTAGAAAAATGAGCAAATACACAAACCTTTCTTCTGAGGATGTAATCTTTGCTATCAAATTCGCTCGAAACATTAAAGGGGAAATGTTTCCCTACCTGCTAGTCGTGTTAGTAAGCGTGTGCGAGCTACCAGTTACGCCAAATCGACGATCAAATGCATTGTTTACAAAAGCTGATACGTCCCTTTGAAAAAGTAATCGAGATTTACCTTTGAGCGGCAGATGGCGCGATTGAACCTGTCTCATAGCGTTCGTATAAGAAAATGGAAGAGTTGCCAGTCTTCTTGATTTGTTGGCTTCGATTTTATGCAATGGCTTTATGAAAGTTCAACTGATTTTTGTGAAACTATTTCCACATATGTTCTGCCCATAAAAGCATATCAGTCCCATCAGAAAAAAAAGCAAGCCAAGAAAAATGCTGTTCAAATTCGTTTTATCCGTAGATTGGACAACCAAGTTTTGGTATTTTTCACCATATTTTCTGTACAAAACATATGACTTTTAATGCTCAGTGTAAACTACAGGTAGTTTGCAATGACTTCTAATGGATAACCCATTTCTGATAAATATCCATATGGCGTTGTTATGCTTTTATGGGCAGTGTAATACTGCTGATAGTTAGGATAAAACTTACGGTGGATTCCTGTGTCCGGACCACGACCGTTCTGCATTTCACTCTGGAGCTGTAAGCCTTTTGGATCATTACAGTATCGCCACTCTGAAGCAAATCAACCACGTGGTTAATGAGAATAATCGTAGCTTAGACCTTTGCTTCGTCACCGCTCAGGATGCTGCTCCGCATTTGTCTATGGCTGTTTCTCCGTTGAGATAAAGACTGTTCCACACCATCGTCCTTTATTTATTCCACTTGAAGGCAACTAAATTCCTGAGTTCATTCCACGAGGTCTCCTACGATTTCCGAAATGCTGACCACGACAGTATCGGGGAACTTCTTTCGAAATTGGACTGGCACAGAATACTCGTCCCTGCCGATTTCGAAGCAGCTGCCCAAACGCTCTCGCATATTTTGGCTTACGTCATTGAGCGACACTTTCCGAAACAAGTTCTTAAGCAAGGTAATCATCATCCTTGGTGTAGTAGATAGAGTTAGAGTTGAATAAATAATGAGTAGAATCGAGTGAGCGTGAAGCGTGATAGTCCGTATGTAAACGGAATCTCATTGGTTAGAGAATTTTGATAGGTTAGCAGGTATAAATATGAAGTACCTAAGCTCGTTGAAGTCCCGTTTTTACCGACAGTGATTCGCTGCCAGACTGTTGAGCAGTTCAGTCGATTTGAATTCTCTCTAGTTTCGTTCGTTCGTTCGCAAGTCGCGTTGTGTAGTGACGCTCTCGCTGACCCAGCCATGGGTAAGAAATCGCGCGGTAACGCGAGTGCCGGTTTACCGGGAAAACAGACTCTCCCAGGAGACGGCGCGACCACCGAGCCAGCCCAGAAGAAGCAGAAGAAAACCCCATTGCCCATCCCGACAGCCGTTGCGGACCCGCAGCCGGGGCCTCCCGGAACTAAACGACCCAGACCTGAAGACAGCAGCGCCACCGTATCAGCAGCAAAAAAGCTGCTGAGCAACAATCCGTTCTCCGCCCTGCAGAACGGAGCCCAGCCGCAGTCGGACCCTGAGACGGTGCCGAAAAAAGTTAAGTTGCCACCCTTCTACGTGAAGGGCTTCCCTCCCGGGCTATGGGAGCAGCTGGATTTCTACATTAAGCAGGGCCTTCGCTGCACCATTCAACGGTGCACGGAAGGCTACAAACTGATGGTCCCGGCCGAAAAACACTTCAACGCAGTTCAGGCCCTCTTGGACAGAATGAAGTTGGAGTACTTCTCCCACGACATCGAGGCCACCAAGCCGCTGAAAGTGGTGCTGCGCGGGCTCCACGACATGGACACCACCACCTTAATGGACGAGATTAAGGCGAACGGCCTCAAGCCGGTCGAAGTCCACAAGATGACCCGCAGCAAGGCCATCAAGTATCGTGACCAGCTCTACCTGGTCCATCTGGAGAAGAACTCCACAACCGTGAAGGATCTCCAGACGACACGCACACTGTTCCACATCGTAGTGAAGTGGGAGCGGTATAAACCCACCCACCGTGGCGTCACTCAGTGCTCGAACTGCCTATTGTTCGGGCACGGCACCAGGAATTGCTGCATGGCCAGCCGCTGCATCAAATGCGGCAAAAACCACAAGATCGACAACTGCGACAGCATCGAGGAAGCCACTCCCACATGCGCCAACTGCGGTGCCGCCCACAAGGCCACGAGTAAGGCCTGTCCGAAGCGGGCCGAATACGCCGAGATCCGGAAGAAGGCCTCGTCCAACAGCCAGCCCGGTCGCAAGAAGGTTCCAGAAAACAACGCGCAGAACTTTCCTCCGTTATCACCGGTCCAATCACGGCCAATTCCAGTGTTGCCGCCGCTCCCGCTCAACCAACAGTTGGCTGCCGCTGCAGTACCCGGTCAAGCCTCCGGGCCATCGACGGATCCCCCTGCTCCGGGATTGGCCGGTACAACCGGTGAAGCTACAGACGATTCTCCGCTGTCAACGGATGAGATCGTCACACTGTTGGCCCAGGCCATCATCATCAAGCGCACCTGCGCAACAAGAACACAACAGCTCCAAGCTATCATCTCCTTCGTCGCTAATTATGGACCGTGAACCCATAAAGATCGCCAACTGGAACGCTCGCTCCGTAGGGGCGAAAAACATTGAGCTTGCAGACTTCCTCCGCAAGCACGACATCGACGTGGGCCTTCTCACCGAGACCCACCTCAAGACCGGTGACAGCTTCTGGCTGCCCGACCACAGCATTGTCCGGCTTGATCGCACCAGCTCCAGGGGGGGCGGTGTCGCGGTCATCATCAAGAAAGGCATCAAGTACTGCACCCTACCCCACTACCGCACTTCCATCATCGAGGCCGTCGGCGTTGAGGTGGAAACATCGACCGGAAACGTCCGGTTCATCGTTGTCTACTGCCCCCGGCAATGTACCGTTAGCAATGGTACAGCACAGCAGTTCAAGAACGACCTTGCCATCATAACCCACACCAATGCCCGCTTTGTAATCGGAGGGGACCTGAACGCCCGGCACGAGGCCTGGCGGAACTACCAGCAGAACCAGAACGGCCGCCTGCTATTCGACCATTCCCAGCATGGTCTCTATTCCGTCTGGTTTCCGGACGAACCAACCTTCACATCACCGACGGGCAACCCATCGACGCTGGACCTGTTCTTGGCAAACACCAGATTAGCCAAGCCGGTTGCCGTCAACGACCTGAGTTCGGACCACCAACCGGTGCTGACCGAGCTGGGCTACAACGTGGCCCCTGCACCGTGCCAGCGGAAGGACTACCATCGAGTCAACTGGGTCCAGTTTCGACGCGTGGTCGACCGCCACATCGACGACAACCCACCGCTCGACACAGTGGAGGACATCGACCGGGCCCTGGAGGGTCTCCATCAAGCCATATCCGTGGCTGACGAAGAGTGCGTTCGACGAGTTCCTGTGAGGGGTAAGTTTCAAGCAATTGATTCCCACACCAAACTCTTGATTCGGCTCAGAAATGTTCGTAGACGCCAGTTTCAGCGGACTGGGGATCTGCAGCGTAAATACGAAATGGTCGATCTGAATCGGCAGATCGCTTCCAGAATGGTCTCAATCCGGAACGAGAGTTTCGGGCGGCTCGTTCAGAACCTGGACGACCGTTCCAGACCATTCTGGAAGGTTGCCAAGGTGCTGAAGTCTCACCCCAAGCCCATTCCACCACTTAGAGTCAATGACGAACGGCTTATCACCAACGAAGAGAAGGCCAATGCAATTGGGGAGCACATTGCCCAGTCGCATTTGCTTGGCTCTACAATCCCAAGTCCACTCGAGAACCAGGTTGTGCAGTGCGTCCAGACGTTAGATGCCTCCCCTTGTGCCGTCCCTCCAGAAGAACGGATTACAGAGGAACAAATTTGCTCAGCGCTGAAATACAGTAAGAACATGAAGGCTCCCGGGTTTGACGGAATATTCAACCTAGCGTTGAAAAATCTCAGCCCGAGGGTCCACTCGCTGCTGGCTGCCATCCTCAACAGATGCTTGGAGCTGCACTACTTTCCAAGCATCTGGAAGGTGGCAAAAATCATCCCGATCCGCAAACCTGGGAAAGACCCTTCACTACCGTCAAGCTACAGACCGATTAGCCTGCTCTCAGCGCTGAGCAAGCTGTTCGAAAAATTGATCCTCAGCCGACTAAACAAGTTTGTGGAGGAACATGACATTCTTCTTCCGGAACAGTTCGGGTTCCGTAAGGGGCATTCCACCAATCATCAGCTAGTGCGGGTGATGAATAACATCCGGAGTAACAAAGCTGTATCCAAGTCCACAGCCATGGCCTTGTTAGACGTCGAAAAGGCGTTTGACAATGTCTGGCACGACGGACTTATATACAAGCTTTGTAACTCCAACTTTCCACCATACCTTGTGAAAATCACCCGTAACTATCTCCAGCAAAGGTCGTTCAGGGTGTCGTTGAATAGTTCCCTTTCGGGACAATTTCCGATCCCAGCGTTCCGCAAGGGAGTCTGCTGGGACCACTGCTTTACAGCATCTACACGTCGGACATCTCTCCTCTAGGAGACGGTTGCGTGTTCTTTCTGTTTGCAGATGACACC